GGCGGCACCCGCCCACACTCTGGTAGAAGCCTAACCAACAAAAAAGTGACTTTTTATATTATAAGGTGGCAAACGAGCAAGCGGCCAACTGAATCTACCGAAATGGAAAGCGACGGCTGCCCATAAACATCCGCAATTGTATATGCGTTGTAACCCTTAATTGACGGAAGAGGAGACGCACATAAAGAGGACATTCCCCTTCCTATGCGTCTCCTCCACCGTGAAATCCACTTTTCCATCCCATCCTTCCCTCTTAAGAGAAGGGTGGAAAGGTAAAGGGACTAAAATTAGGCCTCCGACACTACACTCATCAGACGAAACGCGGAATTGCTTCACGCCTGATTTCTGTGTGGTCGTGGTCTTACACCGAGTGAGCCGGCTAGCCGTGCGAAGATGTTAAAGCCGGCTCTACCACTGACTGCTTCCAAGACGAATCTTGATCTCTCAAAGATTGATGAACACGTTTAGTATCGATTATGAGAGATCTATTAACATTGACTGGAAGCGAGGTAATAACATTAACATTCATTAGTTTTAGTAGTGTTCAAAGTTTTGTTGAAAGACCAAAATTACTTAAGCAATTGGACTTAAACTAATAGAAGCCTTACTTACCTTGCGGACACTCAGGGTGGCATTCCCCGGCAGCCAACCGCCAGCCCGAGGGGCATGAAGCACACTGGTCACGACGTGGCCCGATGCACGTGCGACATGACAGGTAGCACTTAGCACACATGCCACGGTCCGCGTAGTACCTGGTGCATATAACAATAACTTAACTATATTTCAAACTGGATTTATTCTAAAAATAATTCCACGTCCAATTCGTATTTAAAACAGTTTGCTGTTTCCTTTGTATTTCAATGCTATCCGGGAAAGTGAATCAGATAACTGCTAGAAGTTGTCTCACCCATCAGCACAGGAGGTACGACAGGCTCCGGATTGCAGACGCAGGGCTCCCGCGCAGGCGGTGCAGTTGAGCCGCGACACGCAGGCGGCGCACCCGTGCACACAGCGCGTACACCGCCCAGACTCCGAGTAGAAACCATGACTACACTCAGCGACACATCTACAACATCATTGTATTTTATCATATACATCATATATCATATAAATATTATAAATGCGAAAGTTACGATGGGTGGATGGATGTTTCTTAGCGTTTGTAGCCTAAACGGCTGAATGGATCTTCATGAAATTTGGCGCAGGTTTAGAGCATAGTCTGGAATAACACATAGGCTACTTTTTATCCCGGGAATAGTTAAGGTTCCCATGGGATTTATTGATTTAGTTTTTTAATGTTTACTCGATAATTCTGCAACGGTTGAACATATCTTATTGAAATTTGGCACAGTTATAAAACAAAGTCTGGAGTACACATGGGATAAGGTTCATCGCCGAAAAGTACCGGTTTCCAAGGCACAGGTAGTTTTTTGTTATTCACATAGTCCGTCTGTTTTCTAATACCACGCGGACGGAGTCGCGGCAATAGCTAGTTTCCCATAAAACAAACCCATCGAACAAGATTATAAAGTTACATCTGCACAAGTTCTAGATTTCAATCAACTTACTTGTAATTTTCTAATAGATTCGGCGTAGGACACGTCAGGCAATTGGTATCCTCGTCACCATAGCAGGAGTCGCAGGCGACGTTACAACGATTGCAATTGCCACCGTCAAAGTATTCACTTGAACTACATTTATCAGATCCAGTCCGAACACATTTTCCTTTTTTATTTAACTCCCAATTGGTGTCACAAGTCATGCAAAAGGCGCTTATACAAGTAGAACAACCAACGGGACATCTGAAAAAATAAAAAATAATTATAGATACTATTTTCCTATACAAAGCTTGAATTTTAGATTGATACTTACTTCATACATTCTTTTCTCTTCTTGTCTGCATAATATCCACTTGGACATGCGTTAACACATCGGCCTTCTAAAGAATAGCTCGAAGGGTGACAAGTCACACACTGAGTTTCCGCAGGACCTTCACAAGTGTCACAAGATGAATGGCATTTAGCACACGAGTAGTCCTCAGTTTCAAAGTACGAGGGTGGACAGGACGCCAAACATGTACCATTGTGTAGAACTAAGTGATGCTCACAAGAAGTACACGAATCAGCTTTATCGGAACAAGTCGAGCAGTGAG